GGCAGGGGGTCTTCACTGCCATTCTTATAACACAGTTTCTGACCCATGCTCCCCACCCCACTGTCTCCTTTGGGATGAGCAGCACAACCCTGCATTTACGCAGCACAGCGGCCGGTAAACAGGAAATGTCTCCAAGGTATTTTGCATGGTTTCGGGACCCTAAAAATACCCAGTGATAAGAGCTATTGTTTCTCTCACAATGGCTTCCGGCAGTCCAAAATGATGTTTTCCTCAGGCCGGGAGGCTGGCCAGCTCCTCCACGACTCCAGGACGTGGCCTCCCTCCTTTATCCTCCTTACCTGATGGCCCTGTGACGACACCAATGCTGCTGCTGCTGCTGCTCTCAGAAGGGCACAAAGGTCTCCGGGAAATGCTAAGGAGGAGGAGGAGGAGGAGACCTCGGAGGGAGGAGTGGATTTGCAGAGCTACTATAACCCTCAGGAGGTTCCTGCCAGAGGGTGGGAAGGAAAGAAACCCCCCCCTTAGAGGATCCACCCTCCATTCCCTCCCGAGCGCTGGCTGCCCACCACACAGACCTGGACTTGGGAGGCTTTTCCTTTTACTGGCAGAATCACGTCCATGCTGATTTTTGGACCTACTGAAACACCCCACCCCCGCCCCACCCGAGTGGTCTACCTAACGGAAACCAAACCCCACCTATCAAATGATGAATGGGCCTCAAAAGGAATAAAGACAAAAACCTTTATTTATAGAAGCATTCAAGGCCCAAAGGAATGCTTTCACTGGGGTCTGGCCGACCTCCTTCGCACGACCAGGCTGCTGCCGGAGAGGCGGCGGTGGCAGCTCTCAAGTCTGCCACTAGACAAGCCGGTTCGGCCCGGGGGGGGGGATTTGTGTGCCCGAGGGGCACCTGTGGAGGATCACTGCCTACTGGCAGGTCCTCAGGGCAGCGGACAACCTTCATCCAGGGTGCCTCGAACCGAGGACAGCACAGCACTCTGTAGTCCCGAAGGGAAGGTGGTTAAGGTATTTGGCCAATCCCGTGTCATCCTCGAGAAGTCAACAAGGCTGCAATTTTGCACACAGTTCACCCCCTGAAGCCCATCTTTTAAGTCTATGCAGGATATGGTGCCAGAATGCACACATTTCTGAAACATGCTCAAGGAGGGGTTACTCCCTCGCTTCTCGTTGCTGGACAGACAGGCCACAGTTCCTCCCTCCCCATCAGACTTGGAAACAGACTTTCTCCTTGTCTGAGGGAGCCAAGATGGCTTCAGAAACAAGCAAGAACAAAGCCTACCGGAGTTACGAAAGGGGTGGGTTTGCAAAGACACATTTCAATTGAATGTTGTCATCTTTGGTAGCTATGAAACAGCACCAGCCTTTGACTGGAAAAGGTGACAGACAGACAGACTGGAGATACAGTCCTTGGAAAGGAACGGAGGGTAAGCACCCAGCTTTTAAGCTCCATGTTGATCTATTAGAGTGAGTGAGTTGAGGACACCTCTCCCTTTGGTTAGCATGAGCATGAGAGAAAATATAATTCCCACCATGAACTCTGGGCAACAGGATTACAAGCTCCGCGTCATAGCAAAAGCAAAGGCAGCCAATGGGAAGCAGGTCTGAGAACTTTCCATTTTCACTGCATTTTTCTTTCTCCCCCCCCCCCCCCCGGCATGGTTGTCAGCTTCTCGGAGAAGGAGGAGGGCTCCACACCCACCCACCCACCAACTCCAGCCTATCCTTGGCATTCAACATTTCAGTAAACAAATTATTTAAAAATACAACATTTTCCAAACAAAAATAAACGAGCCATATTTTTGGAGCACTTATCTCTGGGGAAAATATTTGAACAGCTGTAGCACACCCTTTTCTCACCAAGTCTTCCCTG